TGAATTTGTATGTACTACATGTATAATTAGTAGACATTATGTTAGTCTTCTCCTTTCTTCTTTTCTCATAACGCCAATGCCGCCACTAGATCAAAATTGGGAGCCCTAGATTGTTTGTCTTCGTTGGTGTTGTTGTTCTATGGCAAGGTTTTCCAACAATGTCTGGGGCAGGGGATGGGTTTCTGGCAAGGTCTAGGGGTGGCATTGACAAAGAGGGGGTTGGGGGCTACGGAGTAGGGGCAGCAGTAGTCACCACAAGCCATGACAGCGGCCCACACCGGGACAACTAAGAGATTGTGCAAGGGCCGGGGAGACGGTTGGGCAGGGACAGTGGTGGTGGCCGGGGGCAACGTGGGCTGACGGTTGCAGAGAGATTTAGGGGTTGGGGGCTGGCTTTGGGTTGGAGACCGGCCGGGGAGGCTGGCCGCTGGAGTCAGGAGGGCGGTAGTAGGTAGCGGTGGCGGTGGCTAGAGGTGGTCACTATCAGATCAGGTAACTGTAACTAATCGAACCGAGTAAGATCATGTTTGGTAACTGGTTGAATCGAGTAATTGTAATTGGTCGGGTTGGGTAACGGTATGTGGTCGGGTCGGATATTGACACACGGTACTTTATCTTTTCCGAGTCTTATATTGACACGCTTTATCTTTTCAGACTCCTTATTATAGTAAATTTATCTTTCAGGTTTATGATTGATAAAATTTCAATTTATTTGTACTGAAATATTAGAAAAAATGTAATTTTTGTATGTAATATTACATATACATATAAAATAATACTCTGTATTACCTAATTGACCGTCCTGCCCGTCTGCAAACCAGGTAAAGACCGACCTTCAATATAATTTGATATATTTCAAACTTTGATTTCTACTACTCTTCTTCAATTCACAATTCCGTATACAAATTAGAAACTGAAATTTGTAAATGACTTTTTATACATCCAATTTATTAATTATTATTTGTAACTCGTATTAAACTTGACATTTTGTGCTATATATATTTCTTTTATTTTTCTTACAGTTATTTGGTTTTCACATACTTTATATCAATTTTAAGTCATGTATTTCTTTTGGGAAAATGGAAACTAATAATCCAACCTTTTAGCGGTCTTCTTACAATAATCCAACCTTTTGGTTATTCATGAATAATCCAACCTTTACACCTCATCTTCATTCACTAGTCCCTGACCGGTTGATGACCTGCTATTCCATGCTATATTCTTATCTTTGCAAATCATTATACCATAAATCTCATCTTTCACAAAGATAATATTTTGCAAAGATAAGAAAATAACTTGGAATAGTAGGTCATTAACCGACCAGGGACCAATGATTGAAGATGAGGTGCAAAGGTTGAATTATTCATGAATAATCAAAAGGTGGGATTATTGAAAGAAGACCGCTAAAAGGTTGGATTATTAGTTTCCATTTTACCATTTCTTTTTACATTTAGTAAAAATGGTGTTATAATTTTCTTGGAGTTATATATTTCTTTTATGTACATTATGCTCATTCTTCTTATTTAATTATGTTATTAATTTGAAGTACTATTTGATCTCATTAGTCATTTTTTGCCTGGGGCATCAAAATTCCTGGAGACGGCGGCCCTGTGTGCATTATTAAATTACAATTTTGACCTTTAATAAAACCTTGCCCCACTTTCCATTTCTATGAGACATTTTAGTATGTCATCAAGTCCATATTTATTTCGTGTGCCAATCAGTTTATAGCCGGCCATTTGATTAGATAAAGGGTTATGATTTGTTCTCATTTCTCACAATAAGGGGTGTTCTCATTGGAACCACTCCATATATATATATAAACAACGCAGTTTTCGTATGGATTTTTTTGGGCTGCCTTCCTGATTGAATGTTTAGCTGAAATTTGGTAAGAATAAACTAGACTTGATGAGGAACATGTTTAAAATATGTCATCAAAAAACTCTACCGGGAAGGGCCCCAAAAACCCTCGACCGGACGGCGAGTCCTGTCAAGCCGGCCTGACAGGATCGCTACTACACACACACACACACACACACACACACACACATTTCTTTGTTTGTGTGTATGGAAGAGTTCAAATAAAAAGACCTCTTCCCGTGCAAAGAGCAAAGATATGCACTTTTTCATGTTTCTGTTGCACTTTTTTGCAGTGGCGAAAAAGTGCAACATATTTACGAAAATGCCACCGCTCTTTTGGCCGAATTTTGTGCAATGTTGGCTCATTTTGAGGCGTTGGATGTGGAAATGAATGCACAAGATGGGAAGAGCTCTTTGTATTTAAACCATCACCTATATATATATAGGGGTGAGTTCAAGTAAAAAGTAGTCTTCCCATGAAAATTGAGAATAAATCTTGGCCTTTGATCACTTGAAAATGGATGGATTAGATGAACTTTAAACATAAGAGATGGTTTCAAAAACGTGCAAATATTTATACTATAAACCGGATAGCTACTAACTAAAAGTGCACTCACGCGTGTCAAAAAAGATTGCCAAAATTTTCAAACTTCTGCACTTTTTATTTGATACCGTATTGCACTTTTGAGTTCTACGTGTGCACTTTTTGACTATTCTGATACACATTTGTCACAATATTTTCAAAAAAGGTTCTCCATAATTACACAAATGCCACCGCATTTCCCACTTAAAAATTGATCTCTTTCATCCATTTTTTCACATCAACGGCCAAGATTAGTTCTTATTTTTCACCTATGAAGTACTTTTTATTTGAACCAAACTCTCCCTCTCTCTCTCTCTCTCTCTCTATATATATATATATATATATATATATATATATATATATATATAGGGTGCGGTTCCAGTGAGAACGATGCTTAACGTGAGAACGTGAGAACACTCACATTTAAATTAATGGGGTGCACAAATATTAGTGCAACATGAAACCGTTTTAGTGCAACATGTGCAAAATTTAAATATTACTGCAACATAAAGCCAATTTTAGTGCAACTTCGTAAATCCAATGGCTGAGATTCATTCTCATTTCTCACATTAGATGCATTTCTCACCTGAACCAATATATATATATATATATATATATATATATATATATATATATATATATATATATATATATATATATATATATATATATATATATAGGGAGCGGTTCCTGTGAGAACACCCTCTTAGGAGAGTAAAAAAGATTAAAATCGAACCATTGACTAATTTAATTGTGTGGCTTAGATGAGGGCTTGGGTTTTAAAAAAACACATGCACAACCTCACGTGATTAATATTGAATGTGTGTGTTTAATTATGAAAGGGCAGTAAAGTAAAATAATTTTAATTTGGGTGGCCGTTTTTAACTTAGAAGTCAATACCTTCCTTAAAAATCTCAAACGTTTTTCAATTTTTAACAAATAAACTCCAACTTTCTCTAAAAGTTAGGGGTTGTTATTATGAAGTTGGAAGTTTCCTAGTAATTAGGAAAGCAATTAAATTCTATTTTCTCGTGAGTTGTTTTACAATACCTACTTCCTTTTAATTTGATAGTTTTTAAATTACTTTTCATAAATATATTTTTACTTTTTTTTCATTATTTACGTACTTTATCAAAACGGCATGTATCGTATTTGCACTCCAGAATAAAATAAATGCACTTTTATTTAAAATTTTATGTAACACCAACTTAATCATATATTTGGGTTTTCCACAAATATTAATATTAGTTAACACCATTCATCAATGAAACACCTATAAATAAAAATAACACTTTTATTATATTAATCTGCACTTTTGTAAACTGCACGTTTATGTTATTAACTTGCACTTTGTTTTAAGAAAATTCTATATTGTGCATTTCTAATTAAACTCGATCAAATGGTCTTAAATAAAACGAAAATGAATATACAACAATAGTAACCAAGATTGCACTTCAAATGGATATAAAAGTGCACTTTCCTTTGTATAAAAGTGCGAAATTATATCACACTTTCTAGAGTTTTGCATACACATTAACATGAAACATTTTTGCATTTGTTATTCATCAATATATATATTCTTCATGCATTTGTGCACTTCGGCACATTTTTGAAGCACTTTAAATTGTACTTTTTTAAATTGCACTTTTTATCTCATTAACATGCATCGTCTACTCATTAATTTATATCTTCTTCATGCATTTGTGCACTTCGGTACTTTAAATCTTATATTTATTGATGAAGCACTCTAATTGAACTCTTATGCACTTTTAACATGTGTATGTGCAACTTATATGGTTAATCTCGTTTAATATTTTTTATTTCAGTATTTGTGCACATTTTAATAAATTAAGTTGCACTTTTGTAACTATCACTTTTTATCTCATTAATATTCACTTTTAATATATTAACATACTCATTACTAGTGCAATTTCGTAAATTTTATCTTGAAATAAAATTGAAAATGAAGAGCAGGTTATCAACTAACAACCAATAAGTGCACTTTAAATCTATAAAAAAAGAGCACTATTGCATCTCAATCAATTCCGAAAATTCTACTTGATTTATTTTTACAAAATAAAATGCAAGTTTTATCCTTTGAATCCCACATATCCCACTATAAAAGAGTACACGTGTAGAGATTGAAAATAAAATAAATGGAGTAATGTAAAACGGTAAAGATGAAAGAGAGAATTATGGGTGACGGTTTTGGAAAGAAACGGAGTGCATTAAGTATTAGGAGAAATCACCAAATTGCCCTCTACGAAAATTTATTAGAAATTAAAATAGATGCTTCATCCAATGGCTCACATCTAATCTTTTTTCCTCTCCTAAGATTAAGTTCTCACATGAACCTAAATCTATATATATATATATTAAGGATCATGTACAAAGTCTTCTTAATTTACAAAGTACAAATTAATCGTGGCCATTCAATTTACTTGATCTACCGTACGTTTTGATGGAATTGGCAAGATTATTATTTTAGGTAGTTGAGGGGCCTTTTGTCTTTTAGCTTTGTTTTTATTTATGGAAAGCAAATCACGATTGATTCTCCCACTTCAATAATGCTAAGTTTCATTTCAATTCCATTACAATAGATCTCTGCGTTCCTCCACACCATCTTCGTCTTCATCTCTACCTATGTTTCCCTCTCCTTCTCCATCTCCATCTCCAATTTAATAGAATTTGATTTGTGTTCTTATCTTCGAATGACATGGATTCCATCTCTATCTTCATCTCCTTCTCAAATTTATTTGATGTTCTTCTATTGAAACGTCGTGGATTCTGGCACGCACAAGGCGAGCGTTTGTTCTTGAATGCCATGGATTCTGACATCGCAGTGGAATCTGATGTGCACGCTGGATTTTTTTTCCCCATCTCCATCTCCATTTTCATCTCATTTTTTTCTCCATTTTTAATGCAAAATTCTTGTATTTCTTATGCATGCTGGTGCGTAAAATCCATCCGGACATCTTTTGAAAAGATTTTTTTTAACTTACTTGTTTTGCAATGGTTTTCATATCAATTTAGCAGTCTTGTGCTTGAAATCCTCTTGTAATTTCAGTATGAATTTTATTTTTAATTTTTTGCCATTTAGAACATGGTCCTCATGTATTATGCATTCTGTGATCTCCTAGATTATGTATGCATGTCATTCTAATATGGAATGCAGATATCATAATGATAAGATGCTTGAAATGAACTTCTAATGCCATCTTACTAAAATGCATTGCATGAACATCTAAAATGCACACACCGTCTTATTAAAGTGCACTTATTATAATTTTACTAAAGTGTAATATTCGAAATTCTAAAATGCACATGTCTTGATTATAAAATGCAACCTACGAACTACTGAAATGCATATGTTATAACGATAAGATGCAGTATAAACTATTAAAATGCACATATCATCTTACTAAAGTTTAATACAAGAACTTCTAAAATGCACATGTCATGATGACAAAATGCAACATATGAATTACTAAAATGCAATAATTGAACAATTAAGTTCAATATACGAACTTCTAAATGCACATGTCATAATGTTAATAAAATGCAACATATGAGCTCCTACAATGCAGATGTCATAGCGATAAGATGCATTATGAACTTCTAAAGCGCACATAGCTTTTTACTAGAGTGCAATGCACAAACTTCTAAAGCGCACATGCTATAATGATAAATTGCAAGGTATGAACTACTACAATGCAACATCGACATATTTTATCACCATGTAGTTCTAATATAAGTCATAGAGACACTATAAATATATAATGCATATCATGTAATCTTAATATGCACATCCAGTAATCTTACTATGCACATCCCGGAACCTTAATATGCAATCACTTCTATCTGTGTTGACTTCATACAAACTTAATATGGTAGAAGTTCTAATATAAATCATGCACACGTTATCAATATATAATGCAAATTCCATAACCTTAATATTTTAAATTTAAACAAATGAAATTTTAATTAGGAAGAGAATAATTATTAAAATCAAATATGAAGTATATAAATGTCTCTTTACTTTTTGTGAAATTTCGAATAATTCCCAAAAGTGACAATTAGATAGTTCCTAAAATAAAGAATATTTGGATTTGTTATTGCAACCTTCGTTGATGGCTAAAAAATCAACATTAATCATTGCATTTTTCCTTTTTTAAATTTGCTAAACATGGGTGGTTTAAATCTTAGTGGTGGGGGTTAGCTAATTTTTTGGGATTGCCATCCGTATGTGGCTCATATTTTTAATCATGAGATTTAGTCATTAAATTATTTCCTTAGATAGTTATAGTAGTCCGCCACTTCTATTTTTCAAATGACCATACCATCCCTCTAACTAACCGTTTCATTAATAATTCATGACTTTATTATTATTCCATGTATGTCATCCACGGAGTTCTACCATGCATCTCATATGGATGCCATTTATTTCACTCAAACGGACACATGAGATTAGTTTGTATTTTGTATGGAAGGACTAGTTTGCATGTGATCTTGCCCTTATACACACACACACACACACACACACACACACACACACACACACACACACACACACACATATATACAGGGTAAGGTTCAAATGAGAAGAACCCTTTGGGTGAGAAATGAGAATGAATCTCAGCCATTGGATTCGACTAAGTTGCAGTAAAAGACACTTCATGATGCACTGAAATATGCAATCTAGCACGGTGGCATTTCTGTAAATACTTCTGAAAAATCCGTATTACACGTGTCTAGTAGTGCAACATGAAGCTATTTCGGTGCAACGCCGTCAAATATTAGTGCAACATGAAACAGTTTTTGGGCAACATGTGCAAAATTTAAATATTACTGCAACATAAAGCCAATTTTAGTGCAACTTCGTAAATCCAATGGCTGAGATTCATTCTCATTTCTCACATTAGGTGCATTTCTCACCTGAACCAATATATATATATATATATATATATATATATATATATATATATATATATATAATATTGAGGATCATATACAAACTCATCTTAATTTACAAAGTGCAAATTAATCCTAGCCCTCCATTTAAATGAGATTACGGTGGATTTGATCCTAAGATGGAAAAAAAATCGGTGCATTTAATGTATGTTGGGAAAACTCCCTATTAAACACACTCACGGCTGACTTTAATAGCCCAAACAAATCTTGCCCCTTGATTATATAATTTTAAACGGATGAGATGTATTTGCATTTTGTACCGGAAGCATACTTTGTATGTGATCCTAACCCTATATATAAATATATATATATTGGTACTAGCTCTGATATACATGTAATTTTACATTGTTATTTAAACTTTTAGTGTTCACATCACTTTTGATCTAGCATAGGCCCGCCTAAATTGCACTTTAACTATTCTCTTGGTCGTAAATTGAATTGCAAAATTGATTGTTTAGACAAATAAATTCATTTTGTTCACTTAATCAGGATTACATTCTGAATTAACATTTAATTTGGAATTTGCCAATTTATAGAAATTGTAATGTAATTTCTAAAACTGTAAATTTTAATTAATAAAATTTTATAGAAATTCTTAGTGTATACAAAATTTGTACACACTTGACACACATTTGTACATTATTATCTGTGCACACAGACAATTGCTGCACGAGTGACTGTATACACATGCAACTTAGGGGTGTACATATTGTCTGTGTGTATAGACAATCACGGACAAATGTGTGTAAATAGAATTTTTCAAAAATGTAATATTAGCTCTCCCTAAAACTAGACAAAATTTATGCCAACACTTTTTGAGGATATATTGTGTCCGTTAGTTCTTCAACAAAATAAACACCACAATTGAATACGGAGTATTAAAATAATATTGTGGCATCAGTTCTTACGTAATCCATATCGACATCAATCTATACGTAATCAACATATAGGTCAATCTATACGTAATCAATCTATACACATGTAATTAAAAGAAAGATGTTGTTGACTTGCACAAAAAGTAATAAACCAAAAATTGGGTTGTTAAAGTTTGTGCAAATGAGAAATAATTAAGGGACTTGTGAATTCTTTATTTATTTAAAAGGAAAAGTGATAAAGTTAGTGGAATAAAAAACAAGTTGACAAAAATATAAGGGAATCAAGGAGTATTAGTTTGCTCAATACTCTTATTACGTTAAGGAAAAATAACAAAAAAAGTACATCTAAGTTTATGAAGATAATAAAATATGACCAAGTAAATTTTTAAACATGTGACTATATTTAATTTACTTAATTTATTTTTTTTGTAATCCCTATCAATAGTCATATTTGGATTCATGTTATATGATGTGACTAAGTGATAGTATTGGTTGTCATGCGCTTACCACAAATCCTCCTCCTTTATCCTACCTAAGTTAGTATGGCTTGGGACACACATGATGTCAAAAAAGGATCTCACAAGGGATCCTAAAATCTGTTGAGACTGAGGCTTGAATGTTGTTGCAATCCCTACCGAACACTCGCTCCCTCTCCTTCGAGCCCTTTCTCTTTTGCAACTCGGCAACTGCCATAAGTTTATGTTTTAAGCTTGAAAAATTACCCTAAGTAGGAGTAAATAAATGTTTCAATAATTTTGAGGAAATATTTTTATGGTTGAAAAATAGTACCTTTAATGATAGTGAACACTATTATATTTAATGTCTAGTACTGCAACTATTTGGTAGTAATGACTATAAGATGACGGTAATATTTTATGTTCACTACAAAAAAATTCGGTTGTAGTCACGGATTTAGTCACTGACCCTAGTTTAAAAAATCCGTGACTAACTCCTGTAGTCACGGATTTTGTTCGTGACTAAATCCGTGACTGTTTGGGCGTGACTAAGCCAAATAGTCCGTGACTAAATGTAGTCACGGATTAGTCACGGACTAATAGTTCTATTTTAGAATTTCAAAAACTTGTTTACTCCTATTTCGGAAAGAAAAAAACATAATAGTTCTATTTTAGAATTTCAAAACTTGTTTACTCTTATTTCAATTCGGAAACTTTCTCTCTATGTTTTTAACACAACACTTCTATGTTTTTAACACAACACAAGTAGTGTATATTTGAAGCATATATGGTCTTGTTTCAAAATTTGAAAAGTCAAAAAGCATTTTGTTGTAAAATAAAATAAGTCATTCTTCTTTTTTATGATACCTTTTGATTGGTGATAAGTGACTTTAAAAAAAGTTGATAACTTTGTCATGATTACATGAATATTTATTTTTTCTCGGAATGAAAAACTTGCTTGAAGTTCAGAAATAAAAGTAACCATAAGAACATACATTCAAAAATAAAATATCACCATCATGTAACGAATAACAAAAGTTCAAATAAAACTTTTTTTGAAGCAAGTTCAAATAAAACTTTAAAACATTTAGATGGTAGCAATGTACAAGCGATTTAAGTGAAAATAAAAGTATGTGATCACAAGAGAGAAAGATAGCACTCGATCAATAGAATGTATTTTTTAACAATTTCTTTGTATAGTATTGGTCAAATTGATATTCTAAGCGTCCGTTTAGATATTTTTCAGTTTTCTTCCCTGTTTTCTTCTTTAATATTCCAGATTTTCTATCTATAATTTTATGTTTTCATTTTCCAATTTCCCATTTTAAAATCTAAAAATATGTTCATAAAAAGTTTTCACCTGATTATGTGACCAGTTGGAAGACCAAAAGTACGGTCCCGATTCGAAACTGAACCTAGTACAACCCAAGAAGAGTACCCGGTCTCAATCGGTCCCAATGAGTTTGACTAATTCTTTTCCCTTTTTCCCTATTGATTGGCAACTCCATGGCTCTTTTTGAAACTATTCACTTTGAAAAAATGATTTGAAAAAGCGGAACCGAACTGTTGGGACATCAACCAGACAGTGACCACCGGGTCATTGACCAGACCAATACGGGACTGCATGATCTTCAACCGGACCAAACCGTCGGGTCTAGACCGGACAAGTACCACCGGGTCATTGACGGCGATCAGACAGGGAATGCACAATCGTTGACCGGATAGAGAATGCCCGGTCGTCGATCAGAAGGTATTGCCCGGCCGTCGACAGGACTGGGATTGCCCGTCCATCGACCAGAGCAGATAGGGGTCGTCGGATCATTACCAGGACCAGACAAGGACCGCCGAGTACTCGAACGGACTGAAAAGGGACCATCATGTCGTTGACTA